CAATAGTTACTTTTACTAGTAACTAGTTACTTTTATTGTGGAGCAACTCAGTTACTAACTCAGTTACTTTTTGGGATAAGTAACTAGTAACTATAATTAATTACTTTTTAAAAGTAACGTGCCCAACACTGGTAATAACGTAAAATCAAGAGCCCAATGTAAAAAATTCCCCTTTAAGTATTGTAATGAAACAAAAGCAGCATCCAAACTTAAAAAAAAAATAGGAGTGATGTTATTATTTAGCTTGGAGCTGCGCGCCTCGACCAAGCTGCAGCAGTGTGTTTCACTTTAACGCAAGCCTGTAACACCGTTCCCCTTTAAATAACCTCGGAATATGTGGGCTGGAGTTGAATGGAGTGGAGTGGAGTGGAGTGGAGTGGAGCTGGTGTAGTCCACTCGGTCGGCCACTGGACTGAGTGGACCTACAGCAGCTCCTCTCCACTCTCTATAAGACGCGGCTTCTTTGAAGCTAAGCACAATAAACCCGCCCACCTAGACAGAGTACCTGGCAAGGTGCTCTGAGTGTGCCAGTCAGAAAGTAACCTAATCTCACTTTGTTGTTATTAAAATACTGTTGATAGTGTTTTATCTTTAGTTGTCTAAATGAAAATTAATAAATACAATAAATAATATTAGTTATAATGTTTAGAGGGAAATAAAGTCTCCTTTTTATAAGCGTATGTGCAATGGTGCAGCCTCAGGTCTCCTCATTTAAAACACATTAAGGCTGCATATCAGAGATAAAGCCGGGAAACATACCTCATATTTAAAGCCGCCATTCGTCCAGATAAGAAGAAAAGGGTTCAAATAATCAGCTTCCTTTTCTTCTTTCCTTTGTTAGACGTTAAAAATTTAATTCATTGAGAAAAATCAGAATAAAAGTCAGCAGCTGAAAAACACCTTCCTTCCTCACCCTAACCCTCTGTCATCAAATACGCTTTCCCATTTATTCATCAAACTGCTTAGAAGTCAACCACTAATGGACCACTGGAAGTGTTGGTGGTGGGGGGTGGGGGGTGCACAAGAGGGTCATTATTTTCCAATTATTGCTGCTTCCTAAGTAGGATTCAGAACCTACTTAGTGAAACTAGGGGATATATGACATCTTGGAAAATGAAAAAAATAAATGGAGAATTTTCACCTACTTCCACTCTACATGTTCAAAGAATAATTTATGACATTTGATGTTAAGGTTTCATTAGTTTGCATCCATATATGGAACATTTCATTAAATGACTTTCAGACTGTGCTGCTTGGATCCCGGGAACACTCGCCCAGCCGGCTGCTGTCAGGGTTCAGTGACCTACACCCTGCAGTCAGGAGTTCTGCTTGTAGCTGGTTGGCGAGCGCCTGGGGGTCCAGAGCCAGAAACCACATATACACTGTCGTGCCATGATCGTGGTTTTGGACATTGGGAACCAGAGTCCATGTTTCATCTTGACATGATGAGCGGAGAAGAGGATACAGTTTTGACTTATAAACAGCTGCCCCCCACCCCCCCTCAGCCAACTGCCTCCACAGGAACTCCCACAGAGGTGTGACTTACCACCCCCCCTCTGTGTTGAGAACATTAAAGACCACAACACACAGGATTTCATCCTGTCTTTCCCATGAAGCTGCCCGAGGACCCACAACGGAAGAGGCAACCGCCACAGAGATCAAGACAAAAGACCCAGATCTCCAGAATGACCAACGATAATTGATCATGGTTGATTTTTCAGAACCAAACTGCTGCAAAACAGACTTTTTGGCAACACATTTTTAATGAGTTTTAGAACTTACAGAGTCAGACTGGAGGAGAACGTCTCCTGAAGATCCCGCATGGGAGAAGAAAACCGTTGTTTGCTGCGAGCCTGCTGCTGGATGAAACTCAACTTTCCAAATGGACAAAAGGTTTGCAGGTCTGGCTCAATTAGGGACAGAATAGACAATATGTCTTTTGATGATTTTAATAATGTCATGTGTTTACTGATGAGTAAAGACAAGGCTAACAGGTAGGGTTGTCAAAAGTATCGAAACTCAAAAAAGTATCGATACTGAAATGTTGTATCCGGATACAATACTCGTTTTTAAAAGTAT